TCCACGTACAAAGCACTGTACTAATGAGAAAAATGAAACAGCCCCAGTCCTCAAGCAACTTAAATTCTACTACAAGGTGATTCAGAATCAATATCTCTCTCTGTCTCTCTGTCTTTCTCTGTCCCTCCCACCCCCCCATATGATGATACATTTGAAAAATCCCAAAGACTCAGTTAAGTTAGTTGAAACAATAATTTTAGCAAAGTATCAGGATATAAAATAAACCCACATAAATCATCAGCATTCCTATATGTGAACTTATTTTTAGAAATATTTTGATAATTATATTTCAATATAATGACTTTTCCATTGTAATTGTGTGTATTTTATGTCATGCATTTATAAAACTGAGAGGTCCACTGGCTTCACCAAAGGGGTCCACGACACATGCACACACATATATGTATATATATGTGTATGTATATAAGAATGTGTATGTGTGGGTTGTGTGATTACATCTACATGTATGTATGTACATATACACACATATATGCATGCATGTTTAACCTAAATTCCTCAGACTTAGATTCTAGAGAGACACAGGCAAAGGGGAAAATCGAAGTACGAGGCGAAGAAAAGCGAAGAAAAAACTGGAATGATGGGCCAGAGAAGGTGTGTGTAACCTTCTGATGTCACTTCATAAACCTTTTGCAACATAACTGAGTAATATCCTGAGACATCAGACATGCCCGTGCCTAGATGCGGTGTTAGCTCAGTGGGTAAATATTTCGTTGCAATCCATGGAAGAAATAGCTTTACTAAGACCCCTTGACTTCTCCAAAGTAAATATATGTGCCTGTCTGTGATTACCCAAAAACTTAATAACAATAAGTAAGCCCCAAAGAGGAAGGGGAATGGCAGGTCTTCTGTGATCCTTGTAGGTTCTAAGTCAAGAGAAAAAGGTCCTCAGCTGTCCTTAGGAACTTGTTAGAGGGGAAAAGATTTACCTAGCAGGTTTCAGGAGAGAAGCACTATCAGAGCTCCCCAAACTTTTTTTTTCTTGTCTTTTTTTTTTCTTTTAAGGGCACAGTCTCGTTCCTTTCTGCACAGGCCCCTGGTAAAGAACAAACAAACAAAAGCCTGGACTGAGCGAGGCCCCTCTCAAGCTGCGGGTAATTAAAAAGGCCTATAAATGCCCCCGCAAAAAGCACTTCAAAGAGACAGTAATTCCAGCAATGGCCAGTCAAGACGGTGTGGTGTAAAAATTATGAGTTTTCCCGACGGGGTGCTGTGTGTGAAAAGGACAGGGGCTGGTGGCTAAGGGAGGGTGAGCCACACGGAGGGGCTTTACAATCTGTGTCCATGCCCAATGCGTGTGAGTGCGTGAGAGTCAGAGACACAGAGAGAGGAACGAACAAGGGTTACGGCTCTCTGTGCACACTCACATTTATCAACGTGGAGCAGAAGGAGTGCGTGGGCATGGGGATAAAAGGAAAAATTAAATAAAAGAAACAAATATGTGTTCTCTCCCCCTGCTGGGCTTGACTTTTCATGGGGAGAACCAGGCAACTCGCTCCCTCCAGTACCCCCCAACTTTTTGACTGGCACTTAGCAAGGCATGCAGAGCACCAGGGCTGCTCTGTTGGCTGGGACAGTGCAAGAGGAGGCAGCTGTATTAGCGTACTACACAATCCATTGTGATATACACACTGGAGCCAGAATGTCCTACATGTCAAGTTATATTACTGTGCATGTCAAATACAACACTCTTAAGCTTCCTTTTGGCTGAATTTGCTAGGTCCTCTGTGGGGTATACCTGAGCCTGGTTCTGTGTTTTTAAACACTGTTACATTATATGCTGCACATGAATATTTCAGGCATTAATTGGTATAGTTACTCCAACTCACTTCGCCATACACAATACAAAATGCCTACAATTCATGGGAGGGCTAACAAATAATAACAGAATGAATCTTGAAGTCTGTACATAAGTTGTTCCCACAGAGGTGCACTGGAATTTTCAGCTCACATTACATACATAACAGCACATTAAATGCACAGTTTGTAACATTCATATCTCCACAATATCACGCAAGGCAACACTCAGTATAAATATATGATGGTACATTTGAAAGAAACTAAGGTCTCCAAATAAGCTGCTTTCTCCCCCCCTGCGATATCACAGTGCAGCTGATTTTCAGAGACCCTAGAGCTCAGAACGAGGTAAAGTGAACCACTATTCAGTCCTCCAGGGCATAAAGCAAGCCACCTCAGTCCATGTGGTAAGCAGTCCATCAGAGAGGCTGGCCCTGGGTGCAGATCATATTTGTACCACTCCATTCTGAGAAGCCCAGACTCCACTGCTTCCTGACCCTGCGTTGGTCAATCATTCATTTGGCCCATAATGAATCCCCTACCCCAGGCTGAGGGGCTGCAAAGGCAAGTCTATGCTCCCCAAACCGTAAGAGAAACAAACATGTTAGCCAGCAGCTTAATTTCTCCATAAACAGAAACCTGCTCTGCTCAGTTTACAGCCCCACTCACTAACTCCTCCCTGACACTGCTGGCTTTAAGCCTACACATAAAAATGTCCTTTACTATTTTTATTTAATGAGCTTTCATTTTCCTCCCCCTCTTCTTAAATGAGAAAGGAAAGCCCACCTCTTAATGTCTGTGGGGGGGTAAGCCCAATGGAATCTTTAACTTCATGAGACGCTCACTTCCACCACCCCACTTCCCCAATTTGCTTCAATACATGAACCCCTTAAGCCTATATATACACACACACACACACACACACACACACACACTCCCCCACCGTTCAAAATAAGATGTATGGATTTTGGACATTTGATTACTTTTAAGTATATATTTTTCCCTCAAATAGACTGAATACGATGGTTAGGAAATTTGACAGAAAACTATTGTGAGCCATTTATTGCCTTAATACGCACCTTTGTCCAACAGGCAGTTTTGACAACAGCGATAAATTCCAAATTTATGTCAACAGAGCATATGTTGAACACCTCATTTCTGAGCTAAAGCAGCATGCTGCCCTATAAATCACCGTTCTGTTTGAAATGAAAGTAGATTACAGGCCTGTGTTATTGAGCAGTTAGAACCGTAGTCATATAAATCAGAACTTTTAACTCTAGGCGATCCGTTGTGCAATTAACTAAAGGGTACTTTGTCATTTCAAGGCTTGTGCACAGACTTGGCAGGGCACAGAGCTACTGGGGAAAGGGGGGGGGGCTGAGAGAAGGAAAAAGTTATCTGGCAACTAGAAGAATCTGTGCTGCAGAATCTCCCCCTCCCTACTCCCAGCACA